TTGCCAATGTCAACACTACTTCTACTACCCAGCCATCGCCACACTCCAGGATGCTTTCTGGACCCGCGCCGCTTGCGGCCGCGCAACACATCATAAGACACTAAAAACCCATCTCCCGGAATTGTAGTACCATATTTGATAGGGTTCAAATATGGTAACACCTACAAGGGTGATTAGAGGTCGCCCCAAAAGCCTCTATCCCTCTAGGAAAGACTGGCAAGCTACCGAGAGTATTCCGCCCGCACGGAAGAGCCTGGCAAGCTATCCGCTGTGTATTCGATATGCCAAAACCAGTAACTACAACTGGTTTCATTGACCTGACCCTGAAGGCTTCACCGACATGGCAGCACTGAGAAGGATGAGAAAGGAGAGGCCGACAAAATCTCAAGGCCGACGTAGGCTGACACAACGAAGGAAGACAAAAATGATCGTCTGTACTTTCAATGCACGTATGCTAGCATCAGATGCATCCATCGAGGACCTGATGGTACAAGCGCGAATGATCAAGTACGACATCATTGGTCTGACCGAGACAAGAAGGCACGAATCTCACCATGCCGTTTTCGACACTGGAGAAGAATTGTTCCTCGGAACATGCGATAAAAGAGGTGTTGGAGGCGTCGGTGTCCTTGTCAACACAAACTTGGCCAAGAGCATTGTTTCATTCGAATGCCTAACAACCCGAATCGGACGTTTACATTTGAACAGATGTGACTCACTGCCTGCAGTTTCTATCTTCGTTGTCTATGCACCAACATATCATGAGGAAAGAGAAATCGAGAAGTTCTACATGGAGCTAGAGAAGTTCTATAAAGAAGACCACACCTTCTACAAGATCATCGTGGGTGATTTTAATGCCAAGATAGGACCGAGAAGATCAGCTGAAGAACTTCACATCGGGACCCATGGCCTAGAATGGAACGAACAGGGTGAGAGACTGTCTGAGTTCATCATGTCGACCAAGACCATTCATGGTAACTCACAGTTCCAGAAGGCAGAATCTAAACGATGGACATGGGAGTCTCCCGGTGGACGATTCCACAACGAAATAGACCACATCATATTCAATCGACAGTTTTGCCTGACTGATGTGCTGTTGTCCCAAAATTTCGAACGGGATCGGACCACCGTCTACTTCGTGCAAAATTCTACTTCACAGAGCGGGGAGAAAGGGCTGCAAATTTCAAAAAGAGAACTCCCAGAATGACCACCAACTGGGAACTCTTTGGTACTATTGCGGCAACATGGGAAGATGCCATTGTTGACAACATTGACGAGGAATACGATCGACTGGTTCAGCACCTCCATGAATGTGCGAGGAACGCCAAGAGAGAGATAGCCACAAAAAATCGCCTATCTTCGAAAACTCTTGAGCTAATTCGCCAGCGTGGTTTGGCGCATGCCTCAGGCAACCGCAAGCTAACGTCCGAGCTCGCAAAGCAGTGCAGTGATGCGATCAAGGAAGACCTCAAAGAGAGAAGAGCAGAAGTACTGGTAGATGCGGCAGAAGCCGGAAAAGTATTCGTAACGCCCGCCTGTCCTTCGCCAACTACAAGACCAAGATGACTGCCCTCTGACGTCCTGATGGATCCATCACATCCTCCAGAACGGCAATAGAGAAGATTATCCATGACTTCTACTCAAATCTCTTTGATAGCCATGTCCACTTGCCGACATACCAAATTCCACAGGATGGATATGTCGTTCCCAACGTTCTCCCTTCCGAAATCCGACACGCCATTTCGTCGGTAAAGAAACAAACAGCACCCGGCCCAGACAAGTTCAGACCTGAACACCTGAAGAACCTGCCGTCAGTACTCATCAATACACTGACTGGGCTCTTCACTCGCTACCTATCTGAATGCAAGGTTCCACCCCAATGGAAAACCAGCAGGACCGTTCTACTGTTCAAGAAGGGAGACATCCATATAAAGTCACATAACAGAAAAATTATAAGTGAACTGTGATGAAGCAAAATATAAAGCAATATGGCAGATAAAAATGTTCTGCCATTCATTGAACATAGAATATAAACAATATCAATTCTAGGGGGAAATATGATGTCTAAAGCACAACAATAGAAAAAGAATTGTTCTACGTCATGACTGTGTAGAGAAATGAAGATTCTGTTGCACTGTTCTGGATGATTAATTAGGAAACTAGTAGGTACATTCACTAATGCATGATGTCATTACGGCTACAAGATTCTTCCACTTCACAAAATCTGTGTCCAAACACAGTGCTTTTATGCAAGACCCACATGAACACATGAGTACCTGTTTTCACATATCAAAAGAAGCCAAAAGATTATATTAATGTTATATCTAAAGATAAAAAAGCAAGTATTGGACTCAGTAAAATTTTGTAGAGGACATGTGTAGGATAACATTGGTTTGTCCTTTCTCCCTTGCCACAGGGAGCTTAGGTTTATCGGGTTACACCCATCACAGTACTCCCTAGTCACTCCCATTCCTCTGTTTATCTGTAAAGTCTTCTCTGTGCTCTCCTCCCAAGCCAATGAATCACCTTTTCTCCCTAATAAGATTCTGCTAGCTTGTAAGATAAGATCCTTCTAAGGACACTGGACTTGTATTTTAAGTTATGTCTTTTGCATAGTTTACCTTAAAGCAATGTCCTTTCTGTATGGACACAGGAAGACAGTTAATATTATGCTTTGTAACTTGGGAGTTGATTGACTCCAAATAACATTTACTCCTGGGCATCTTCTTTCTTGACTCAGTTGCCCTTAGTTCCTAGCACCCCCAAAGCAGGGTCCCAATGAGGGATTTAATGGACCCAGGACAAGCTGTGAGCTACCCTAGCATCGAAATGGGCCAGGCCAAAGCGCCACAATACTCAACTATAAGTTGAGGGCATGATCATGAACAAATGCTGTCATGATCCAAAAGTAAGTAAAGATGAGACTAGGACCCTGCTGGGGCTAGGAAGACTAACCTGGCCTGAGGACTGTGGAATATATAGTGAGATGTCCTCAGGAAGAACCAAACTGTAAATTTATATCTCTTGCTGTACTCATACATTGTAGCCTGCCCACAGGGCAGAGTCTGGCAAACTCCCCGTGGCATACTAAATATGCCAAATACCAGTAACAATGATGGGTCTCATTCTCCTAAAGAGCCTTGAATATAATCTCCGGGCTAGGATGAAAGAGACGTTACTGGGGCCTGCTCAAGGCAATCGACGAATAACAGGATGATGAATGAATGAATGAACTCATACAGAATGACATTGCTAGAAATATTGGAAGTTAGATTTACTACAACTATTTATGTAGATTACTAGCTGAGGAAAGAACACACCCTTGTTGGGATCCCACCCTTGAGCAGATCTCCTAGTAATCTGGAATAATCTCTTTAGATGAGATTTTATCCTTGAGTTAACTCCTTGAGGAGTGGTCTTATCTCTCTTTGTTGATTTGCTGACGTTCAACCCACCTCTGTGTCACTGCCCTATGTGCTTGCTATATAAACTAAGACTATAAGTGGGGGCTTGGGCTCTAGAGAACAGAGACCGAGGCTCAGGCAGAGGCTCAGGCTGAGGCGCGGGCTCAGGCTCCAGAGGGCAGTCAGAGGTGAGAGTGAAGATTGGAATAAGCTACAATTGATACTGACTAGCCTGGCCCTCATTCCTTCCTTCGTCTGCCCATCGTCATCAACCTCCCTGGGGTGGGGGAAGCGGCGTGAGACCACCTAACGCAGGCGGAAAGAGAGATAGAGTGCCAACGGACTTTTGAAAACACAGAGACGTGAGTGAATCAAAATTATTCCTTCCCAAGAATTGGCTTTTGTAAGCTATGTATTTTGATATCTACTTTTTACTATATTTTAGTGTTACCTTAGACTTCATGTGCAATTGAAATGATCTGATAGGTTATTTTGATAAAAATTTATTTTTATATAATAAATAGTAACTTTTTCTTCACTTTAGCTTGTTGCATCTTATAGGAGGATTCATAGGAAACTTCTGCTTTCAAAAAATAGAGGAAGCCTGTCATTTAAACATACTGACTAGTGGGCATCCTGAGGTACTTGCTCAAGGTGAAGAGGGTGAGGAGAGATGCTGAAAGCCAGAAGGTATGATATTCTAATATGAATTAACTGTTCTCAGCCCTGTATCCTCAGTTAAGTTCCCATCTTCTCTCTATCACTGCTCTCCTTTGCTCTCAAATACTAAGTGTGAGCCAAGGTAAATAGAGCAGGCTGTCATAGATCAGTAAATGCAAAGATGAGAGTTAGCCACTACCAAGCATTTGAGCTAAGGAAATACCTAATAGAAAGGGATTTTAGTTAATAATCAGGAGAAGCAAGTTGGAGAAAACAATTAAAAAAATTTCCAAACCATTGTTGTTTTGGTCTGCATCTCCCTGATTATTAATGATGTAGAGCATTTTTTCATGTGCTTTTTTGCATTTCGGATTTCTTCTTTGAGAAAGTTTCTGTTCATTTCGTCGCTCCATTTTTGATGGGGTTGGATGTTTTCTTCTTGTGGAGTTCAACGAGTACTTTGTATATTCTTGATATCAACCCTTGTTGGATGGATATTGGGTGAATATCCTTTCCCATTCTGTAGACTGTCTTTGTATTTTGGTCACTGTTTCTTTTGAGGTGCAGAAGCTTCTTAGTTTAAGATAGTCCCATTTGTCTATCTGTTTTCACTTGCTTGGCCAGTGGCATGACATCTTTAAAGATACCATTAGCTTCAATGTCATGGAGGGTTTTGCCAACTTTGTCTTCAATGTACCTTATGGATTCCGGTCTGACATTAAGGTCTTTAATCCATAAGAACAAAAGCAACCAGTGCTGGCACGGATGTGGTGAGAAAGGGACCCTCCTTCACTGCTGGTGGGAATGCTGACTAGTTCAGCCCTTTTGGAAAATAGTATGGACGATTCTCAAAAAATTAGAAATTAACCGGGCATGAAATGGCTAGCTTGGAGCGCCATGCTTGGCCACGCTGAGAGCCCGGGAGGCCACTCCGCGATGTTCCATATCGAGGGCTTTGTGCCAAAGCTGGACCCCGAGGAGATGAAACGGAAGATGTACGAGGATGGGATCTCCTCCGTACGGCACTTCCTCATCTACATGGTTCTGCTACGAGTCACTCCTTTTATCCTAAAGAAGCTGGACAGCATATGAAGGCTGGTCATCACATGTGAATGCACGATATGAAGAACCTGATTACAGTTTCTCCTTCTGTCTGCAAATGAGTAGGCCCAGAAAGATGTAGGAGACTCTTTGATTGAATGGACCTAAAAATTCTACTTGTTAAGAAACAAGTTTGACTCTGGTGACTGACCTTTATAGCTGAAACAAAACTATTTTCATTCATTCATTCATTCATCCTGTTATTCGTTGATTGCCTCAAGCAGGCCCCAGTAACGTCTCTTTTATCCTAGCCCTGAGATTATATTCAAGGCTGTTTAGGAGAATGAGATCCATCATTGTTACTGGTATTTGGCATATTTGGTACGCCACGGGGAGTTTGCCAGACTCTGCCCTGTGGGCAGGCTACATTCGATAGCCTGCAAGTTTGTCCAAAGTAGGAATGAGATAATAAGATGTCATAAAAAGATGTCCTGATAAGATGTCGCGCAGCCGCGAATGTGGCTGTGCGGTTCCAGGAGCTGGATTTATAGTCTCTGAGTCTTAGCCGTTGATGGGATTACACGGCGCCAGGGGGCCAGGTGGTGGGTGTGACCCCCGCCTACTGGAATTTGGAGGATCTGGGTGGAGGATGCTCGACTCCAATCTGAGTAGGCTTGGAGATCTCGGCCCCAGAACCCGCGTGGCTTTGTCCCTCTGCCAGTACCTTCATGTGTGCAGAGAGTGGTCTCAGCATGGTGGTGGCTGGTCCTGGAAGTCTTCGGCTGCCAGTGCCCTGGTCAGGGCGGAGAGGAAAGCTCAACCCGCTCCCCTCCAAGGGAGCCCAGCGAGGAACAGCCAGGCGCAGGGGCAGGAGACTGCACTGGTCTCGTCTGGGAGCTGGATTTTATAGTCTCTGACTCTTGGCCGTTGATGGGATTACACGGCGCCAGGGGGCCAGGTGGTGGGTGTGACCCCAGCCTACTGGAATTTGGAGGATCTGGGTGGAGGATGCTCGACTCCAATCCGAGTAGGCTTGGAGATCTCGGCCCCGGAACCCGCGTGGCTTTGTCCCTCTGCCAGTACCTTCATGTGTGCGGAGAGTAGTCTCAGCATGGTGGTGGCTGGTCCTGGAACTATTTGGAACATATAAAAAGATATTTTGTGGTCCTAGAACGCCCTTATGGCGGTGATATTCAGCCTCTGTCAATGTTGGTGTAAGGGTAAATAATGGCAAATTCCCTTTTCTAGCAAGTATCAGTTATAAGGGAATTATGTATGGGGTGACACTGTCTTGTCATTTCTGGTCCCATTTTCACTGCTGTGTGTTGAAGAATGTCTTACAGTGAGTTGTTTTATGGAAGCCAGCACACAACCACAATGACATTTAGGCACAGGACCATTAGTCTATATTTTTAATAAATGTATTAATTAAGAAAAAAATTAGAAATTGAGCTCCCATTTGACCCAGCAATACCACTCCTGGGAATATATCTCAGAGAGGGAAAAAAAGTATAGTCAAAGTGACATCTGTACTTGTTTGTTCATTGCAGCACTGTTTGCAATAACCAGAATCTGGAAAAAACCCGAGTGCCCGAGAACAGATGACTGGTTGAAGAAACTTTAGTACATCTACACAATGGAGTACTATGTAGCCGTTAGAAAAGATGAAGTCATGAAATTTACATACAAGTGGTACTACATGGAAAGTATCATGCTAAACGAAATGAGTCAGAAAGAGAGGGACAGACATAAAAAGATTGCATTCATCTAGGGACATTAGAGTAACAAAATAGGAGACTAACACCCAAAAGTGGCCAAGATTAGTACCAGGAATTTTGTTCCATGGCTTGGAGGCCAGCCACACATGCTAGGGGAAAAGGAGCTCAGATAGAGAAGGGAGAACCAAATAAAGGGTGTTGGGAGGATCCACCCAGGATGGGAGAAGCATGCTGAAAGTAGACTATAGACCGAACATGATTGCCACTCAATACCTCTTTTGCAAACCACAACACCTAAAAGGAGAGAGAGAACAAAAGGGAATACCCTGCCACAGAGGCAGGGTGGGATGGGGGGATGGGGGCTGGAGGGATACTGGGCCCCTTGGTGGTGGAAAATGGGCACTGGTGGAGGGATGGGTGTTTGATCATTGTACAATTGAAACCCAAGCACAAAAATTTGTAAATCTACAACTGTACCTCATGGTGTTTCACTAACAAAAATTTTTTAAAAATGTAAATGATGGAGGATGCAATTAAATGATCCATATACTCCGTCATTCACATAATACATAAAGGTCTGTTCACTTGACTCATCTTCATCATCGGAGCCAGTCTGTTCCTTTATAACAAGTTTTTTAGCAAAATCTTTTTAAAAAATAAATAAAAGAAAACCTTTTTATTCTGTTGAGACGGAAGCGGTCATTGAAGCCCTACCCAATCAGGGCATTCAAGTCCAATACATCAGGATCCTCCGTGAGCTGTATTGCGGATTCACTACCAGGATCTCACCATTCTACAAAGAAGTGATCGTTGATGTCAAGAGAGGGGTGCGGCAGGGTGATACCATTTCACCGAAACTCTTCAGTGCCACCCTTGAGAACATCATGCGACGACTGGAATGGGAAGGAATGGGAGTGAAGATAGATGGTCGGCAACTACACCACCTCCGCTTTGCTGATGACATTGTTTTAATAACACCAAACATCAGCCAAGCGGCACAAATGCTGGCCGACTTTGACCATGAGTGTGGAAAGGTAGGACTACAGCTGAATCTTACGAAGACAATGTTTATGAGAAACAGCCTTGTTCCTGACGCCCCATTTGCTCTCAATGGAACGACCATCTCCGAATGCAATAGCTATGTGTACCTAGGTTGAGAGGTCAACATGACAAATGACCTGGCACCCGAGCTGTGCAGGAGGAAGAGAGCAGCTTGGAACGCCTTCAAGAAATAGCTAAGAGGACGAAGAACCTCCGGCTCCAGGCACATCTCTTTGATTCCACTGTTCTTCCTGCATTAACATATGCCTCAGAGACCTGGGCCCTACGCAAAATTCAGGTCTCCCAAAGAAGAATAGAAAGAGCTATGCTTGGAATGTCACGTTTCACTCAAATGAGAGAACGAATCCGGAGTTCTGACATCCGTCGACGATCAAGAATCAGGGACGCTGTCTCATTTGCCAAGGTGTCGAAAATCAGATGGGCTGGTCACGTAATGAGATTTAAAGACGACCGCTGGACTAGAGCTGTTACTGACTGGATTCCACAGGATGTCAAAAGACCGCGTGGCCGCCCACCTTCCAGATGGTCAGACTTCTTCGTCAAGATCATGAACGATCGCTTTGAGGCCCTTCATGTTCCCGGAGCGAACAGATGCCATTGGGCTACACTAGCACATGACAGGACAAATGGAGACGTTACTGGCGCCCGCTCGAGCAAATCAACGACTAATGGTTAGTTAAGTGATTAAGTGATAAGTGAAGTAAATGATGGAGAATGGGCACTGGTGGAGGGGTGGGTTACTAGATCATTGTATAACTGAAACTCAAGCACAAAAATTTGTAAGTCTACAACTGTACCTCATGGTGTTTCATTAATAAAAAATTTTTTAAATGTGGTGGTGTAATTTTAATGTATGTTTAAGTCATATTGCATAACCCTCACCATCCCTATAACATAATTTCCTTTCACATAATTTAGGATACTGTCACATTACGTGTTCTTCTTCCTCAAAGTATCTATTATTGCATAGCTCTACACTGAAAGGCATCTGGGAATAATAGTTTTGCATTTTCCTAAAATTGTTTCATATGGAATTGGAGACCCTGAATATCACTAGCATTCAAAGTTTGTTACAGATAAAGAATACTTCTGGAGATGGGTTTAAATGAATTGTGGAAGTAGATATTAAATGCAAAGTTGAGTTAAATGCAATGCATTCTGAACAGTGAAGAATATAACTAGAGCTTTGACATACTAGGGGACTTGGTTTACCAATTCTAACCCAGCAGCCACAAGCATTTTCTTTATCTGGATTCTCCAACACAAGATATAGCAAGACGATATCCATGGACGATACAATTAGGACAAACATGATCAGAATTTCCAATACTCACTAGTGTCTTCACCATCTACATGGGCATGGAAAAGCATTAAAAACCCAAGATCCCATCAATATGAAAGAATATATAGGCATCACAGTTAAAATGAGACTCCATTACACGATCTCTTGATTCTTAATGTTATCTCCTTACATATCCCAGAGAATACTGGTTTCTAGCTATTGTGGATTTCCAGTTTGCTTCAGTCTACACATCCAACACTGGGGGTAGGGTGGGGGTTTGAGTTTTTATTTATTGAGTTTGACAAAGGGAAAAATATACCAGACAATAAATAGATGTAAATGGAGAGAAGAAATATACCAAAAAGTAGAGACAAAGACATTAAAACCAGCCCAAAAAGATTATAATGGCAAACTTCTAGACGAGAACATTTGTCTTTGTCATATTCTCCCCTCTGTCCAAAGGCGTAAAGATTAGGGCAAGTTCCTCATTTTGACCTTACCTTATTTAATTTTATAGACAGATGAAATATGCCTCAGGGGACCAATCTACAAGGGGATTTTATTGCTCATTCTGGAACCCACTAATATTCAGCCTATCCTTTTTCTTTCTCTATACAACCCCTTCTAAGGAGTTGGAGAGAGAATACAGTAGGCGCTTACCTTGCATGCCACCAGCCCAGGTTTGATCGATGTATGGTCTCCCAAGTATTTCCTGGATTGACCTGAGCTCAGAGCACTTGAATGGCCCATGAATGAGTGACAGTGGAACTTAACCTCCTCAGTTACAACATTTCAAAGGTTGACATGTTCACATAGCCCTTTGGTGCCACTTTGAAAGTAGAGGGGTGACAGAAAGGGTAAGTGGCAAAATCTGAACTGTCTTCTAAATTCAATATTAATGACTCAGAGGTATTTAACATTTTTGTGTTCACAAATCCTTTTAAAGATCTGGTATGAAAGTGAACTCAATAGTGAACTCAAACTCAACATCTTCTTGTATGTTCACAGCATGTAGAACTATTTAAATTTGGTAATGCATAGTAGTGCTGTAAATCATGTATAGATCTACATTTTTAAACAGTTTTTTCTGAGAACAGAGAATAATAGAACTTATACATCTGTGCCCTTACCTCCTCCTTTCTATTTACTTCTCAGACCC